CAAATCTTGGACAATTTTCTCAGTGGTTTCATTTTTCTCTTCCTGTTCTGGAATTCCAATGACCTGTAGGTTATTCCTTTTGATAGTATCCCACATGAACCTTAGGCTTTCTTCATTTTGTTTTGATCTTTTTTCTGATTGTTCCCTTTCCAAAGAAGTATTCAAGTATTTTTCTTCAATCTCATTAATTCTGTCTTTCATTGCATCAATTCTACTCCTTTGCCCTTCCAATGTGTTATCTATTTCTGACAATGCAGTATTAATTTTCTGGATTTCTATCTGTAGGTTTAGAATCATTTCTAATTTTTCATTTATTTTGTCATTTTGTTCTTGTATTTTCTTCCAAAATTCTTCTATGGTTTTGTCTGTCTTTTCCTTGGTCCGTCTCTCAATCCTTTGAAGATACTTAAATATATTTCTTTTGAATTCCTTATCCAAGAGTTCCAATGCTGCTTCTTCCTCAGGGATGTGTTTTGGCTCTGTATCCTCGTCCTTTGTTTCTCCTGCTTTATCTTGCTTCTTTGTGTGGACTGTGATGCTCTGTTGTCTCCAAGGCATTGTGATGTTTTTGTGTTTATGTTTAATTGGTGATTATATGTTGGAGTGATTCGCCCACAGTTTTCGTTTTCTTTGTATGTTATTTTTACAGGCAGGGTACTGTGCTGTGTTTCTCTATTCACTAGTTGACAGCACTTGTACAGTCACTGCCTGTCTCCTTTCATTTGTCAGCCTCTCGTATGTCCTTGCTGACCCTGGCAAACAGACCCTGTTCTTAGGTCCCTGGAATCCAAATGAGAATGCTATCACTTTAAAATCCAAGATGGTGTGCCCTTGGTCACTTTAAATATCTAAAATGGCTGCCATGTGTAAACAATCAAAGTGGCTGCACCCTCCGGACAGCAGAAAGTCCACAGCTCAGGTTGTCTCCCACCTTGCTGTTTCCCTTCCTAGTCATAGGCCACTAGCTCATTCGTCCCTGCAGCCCTTGGTTACCAGGTCAATTCTCAGGTCCCAACACCACTTGGAAGTATTCAGGCTGTTGGTCCCATCAGAGTAGCTGATGGTCCACAGCTCCAACCATCTCTGTACTCACTGTTTTCATTTCAGGTTTTTCCACTAGTTGGTGCCTAATCCACTTCTGTAGGAGCTCTGGTAGCATAATGGCTAAAGCACTTGACTGCTAACCAGAAGGCTGGCGGTTCAAACCCACCAGCCACTCCTCGGAAGGAAGGTTG